TGTAGGAATATGCTAATGTATGTTTTCAAATAAACTCAATGTAAGCACTTTTGAATAGTCATATAATTTTATTTCTGTTCTACCGCTCAATAACGGCCTCGGTGGTATAGACGTTTAGTACACCGCCTTACTTCCAATGGTCGCGGGTTCGATTCCTCGCACGGCACAAACATTTGTATTTTTGAGTATGATCGTTCGTATCGTTCTGGGGGTTTTCTGTATATGTATAATATGTATGTATTTACGAAAAAATATATATCTATGTATTTGTGTGAGTTATCTAGTACCTATAACACAAGCTTAACTTGGGTCTAGAATAGTCTAGACGGCGCTGTGTGAATTAAAAAAAAATTGTATGTACCTGTTTTTATATCATTAAGTAATAGTTAAGACTTCATTACATAGTATAAAACAAAGTCGCTGTCGCTGTCTGTCCGTCCCTATGTATGCTAAAATCTTTAAAACTACGCAACGGATTTTCAGGCGTTTTTTTTTAATAGATAGAGTGATTCAAGAGGAAGGTTTATATATATATATATATATATATATATATATATATATATATATATATAAAGCATGTACACCCGTGCGAAGCCAGGGCGAGTAGCTAGTTAAAGATATATACTTCTTGGCACTTTGGCTGTGAGTTTATATTGTATTAATGAAGTAAATAAATACGAAAGCAAACTCGTCACTGGAATGCAACTACCGAAATTAGCCTAAGTTACTCTGGAATAATGCAACTTTAGTTAAAGTCATTTGGTTATTTATGCACGTTGGATGCGTCTACCGGAATTAGCTTACTCTGGAATAATGCATCTTTTAAACAATGAATTAATATTACCGGTAAAAAGAATCCATTTATCATACCTCCTCAGTTTCAAGACACTCTCCTTGATGTGAAGCCAAATCTCGAGGTCCTTGGCGTTGATATATCCAGTGACGTTCAGTATTGCGGTCATTTGGAGGACAAGGCTAAAATAGCCTCAAAAAAGCTTGGTTCACGGCGGCCCATCGCTTGCAATTATACAAGACACAGATCCGGCCGCACATGGAATACTGTTCTCATCTGTGGGCGGGAGCACCATAATACCAGCCTACTAAACTACTTCCATTTGACCGCATTCAGAACCGAGCAGCCAGAATCATTGGTAATCAACGTCTATGCGACAGACTGAAATATTATCCATCTTCCTCTTTCTAAAGATATTGTCATACAAGCTGTGATTTTTTAATGTTTCTTTATTTAACAAACTAGTTTTAATATTAATACTCATGATTTGTAAAGCAAATGGTTCGCCCTTGAGAACACAAAGAACTACGACAGTAGTACAGGGGAATGGGTGAACGGAATGGAGTCTTTTGTGATGAGATTCAATGCTCATTCAGTGTCCTGAAAAGAATTAATACTCGGCATGTTCCGGTCCAAAGGATTTGGAATAATGAACAAAGCCGGTCGTTTAAGTATACTAGGGGGTTTATTGAGTTACTTTGTGTAACCGTATGTATCTTTAGGTATATGTGATGGATTGGATAAATCAATGATCTTGTGGATAAAGGTATAATAGGTTTTGGGGCAGCAGGTATATAGGATGAGTGGATTTATAGATGAATGACACATTCTATTCGATCTACTAATTATATATATTCTATTATATAAAGAAATAAAATATTTTAGAAATTAAAATATTTTTAATAAATTCAGAAAGACAGATATAATGTCACTTTTACAATAATCTGAGGAACGAACTATCAAAATTTTATATTCACTAGCTGTCCCGGCAAACGTTGTTTTGCCTTAAAATAAAAAAAAATTAAGGGTGGACTACCCCTAACATTTAGGGGGATGAAAAATAGATTTTGGCCGATTCTCAGACCTACTCAATACGCTCACAAAATTTCATGAGAATCGATCAAGCCGTTTCGGAGGAGTATGGGAACGAAAACTGTGACACGAGAATTTTATATATAAGATTACTTTTCAAATATAAAAAGTGAAACTAAAGAGGTTTCACAACAGTATAATTGATCTTGTTACACTAAAGTCGATATTCGCAACTCGTTTTTTAGTAAATTGCTACACATGTTTTATGTTAAATTGGGCGATATATGTCAAGTGACGCAGACGAAGTTGCGTGGGTCACCTAGTATATTAATGTTTTCGTTCGCCTTTTTCGCTTGGCAACATTGTTAGTACCGAATTGATCATTTCATGCTACATTGGTCACATTCAATTCGCTCTGGGTACGTATTGTAGATGATTTTAGTACGTACAGCAATATCATAAGAAGCTGGTTAAGATTCAAGATTCAAGATTCTTTATTTGTTAAACATGCGTGATTACATAAGTAGATGATATACATATAGAAGGAATTTGTCCGGCATGTTTAGCCTGGATGGCATACAATATATTTAAATGCTACAATAAAATATTAAATTTAAATGTTAAAAAATAATAAAAAAGAATGATGTCATAATGATACAAAAACTACAACTTAAGTATATGCACAATAATATAAAACTAATAAAACATTTCGTCAAATTTAACATCTAAAAAGTTCGATATACTATAATAACATTTGTCAATCAACAACCTCTTTAATTTATATTTAAATACATTATTGGGAAGGCTCTTCAAGTATTTAGGTAACTTATTATATATTTTAGGTCCCATACATAATATACTGTCATGCATAAGCTTTGTCGTAGATTTTTTAATACATAATTTATCAATGTCACGTCGATTGCGATTTACAATTTCAGAAAGTCGTGGAAATAAGTGCTTTTTAATTCACTATATCAGGCAGAGTACTGATTAGATCTTCAAAATCTATGGAATAATGTACTTGACATCATCATCATCCGTCATACTCGTGAACGAGTGCTGTTTGTAGGGATTTACTCTTATTTAGTTACTCAACCAGTTGGTTGTATATTTAGTATTTTTCTATTTGAGTATTTAATTGAATTAGTGCTAATTGGTAGTAGGCACCATTTAGATCCAAATTAAGCTAGCTGAAGCTTGTGTTATGGGTACTAGAAATCTGATATATATTTTTCGTAAATACATGCATATTATACATATGTATATGTACATAGGAAACACCCAGACCGATACAAACAATCATACGTTTGTACCATACGAGGAACCGAACCCGCGACCATTGGAAGTAAGGCGGTATGCTAAACCGCTAGACCACCGTGACAAAATGTTTGTAATTAACTGATGATGTCCCGTTTAGATGCGAAACACGTGTTGCAATATGTGTATACATAGATATCCATATGTATCGATATCTATTCCGGAATTTGACCTTAATATACAATATACATATTCCATTGAAATAATGGTCGTAACGCTTCCAGTAGCGGTGGTTCAGTTTTCGCACTGAATATTATACTTGTGCACGACGACCTTCTTAGACTTTTATTGTATTTTTTATATATATCTAAAATACATTTTCTATTATTTAAATTATTAACCGGGTCTTAACACGAATAATTTTATGGCAAATAAAGGTATTTACCTCTAGTGGACTCCTCATTTCTCATTTACCGTGGATACCATCGTGATAAAGTCCAGGTGAATTTGTCACGATGGGCTAACTGACCTGCCCTCATGCTCCTCTTATCATCCTCCACTGGTGCCCCGCCAGCGTAAACCGTTAGCGCAGGCGGGTGCACCATTCCATTGTCAACCATAAAAAAAATCCCCTTCCACTCACTGAATATTTGTGGTCTCACACATGGTAATAGGATCGAAATTAAACAAACTATGTAATTGTTTAGTAAGACATACAATTTCCGTACTGTGGGCACAAAATAAAGAAGGCAAGACTTCCATCCGAAAACTATGCGTGAAACATTTTATTTTGAGAGAGGTTAATACACTTTATACTTTTGTAAATTATTTTTATCTGACACAGATTTAGCTGTGACCGTCGCTTCACTTCAGTTTATGTTAGCTGCGATCGTACTGTACACACATACATACATAATAACATTAACATTACGTATCTACTTTATCACTAACTAGCAGTTCCCGCGACTTCGTCCGCCTGGAATTTAACTTTATTTTTCTAAAATAATAGTAGCCTAAGTTACTTCTTATTACATCAGCTGCCTAAAAAAAGTCCCGTCAAAATCGGTCTAGCCATTGCAGAGATTATCCGTACATACACCAAAATAACATTTTCTACAATTTTTGTCTATCTGTCTGTCTGTTTGTTCCGGCTAATCACTGAAATGGCTGGACCGATTTTGACGGGACTCTTTTTGGCAAGTAGCTGATGTAATAAGGAGTAACTTAGGTTACTTTTATTTTATAAAAAGTCGCTAATTAACTTTTTTGTTAATTTCCACGCCGAGGAAGTCGCAGGTACAGCTTGTATTATAAATATGATAGTGTGTCTGGCTGTCTGTTTGCAGATATTGTACATGGTTTTTTTTAAATATATTTATTACTACCTACCTACCTACCTATCTTTATTAAATACATTTATTTTTATACAATGACTCGCTAAACTGAACAGTTTGTTGGCAAGATATAATAAATATAAGATATAATTTTATGGATGACTAACTGTTGCCCGCGACTTCGCCTGCGTGGAATTTACTCCCTAACTCCTAACACTCCTAAGTTACTCCTTATTAAATCACCTACCTGCCAACAACAGACAGAGAGACTGTTATTTTGGTGTATGTACCGTATTTATATTCATATGCATGTAGTAAGAGACGGTTATTTAAATATTACAAATAGACACTCCAATTTTATTCATATGTATAATACATGTACACCCGTGCGAATGTACACCGAGTTGCTAGTTATTTATATAAAAAAACATCTATTCAAAAGACCAAAATACAAGTTTCTTGCTCATTCTTCTTGTGACGAGTCTGCGTTCCGAATGAGTGGTAGTATAAAAAATATGACTTCAAAAGTGCTTGTATTGAGTTTATTTGAATAACTATTATTTCTATTTTTTTTTAATGTGCAGGTATCGTGATAACTTTCTACCTGGTGTTCTACGCTGTGCTGGCTGCAATGTTCGCTCTGTGCATGGGCGGGCTGTTCCTCAGTCTGGACTTCAGCAGGCCCTCATACACTCTGCACAGTTCACTCATAGGTAAACACTAGAATTTCCAGCCGAGGTTTAACCAAACTGTCAACACTAGGCTTCCAAATAGGGTTGCCAGTCGTCTTTAGTATATATGAACAGCCTATACCACCCTATCATGTAATCATATGACAGTCGTAATACCACTCAAGTGTTACCATTTCGGACGACTAAGTTGTAATGCCTCCATCCTATAATTTCACTGCTTTATCTCACCTTTCAATTGAAACACATGTTACAAAACAAATTGCTTGACGTTTGAAATAAGTTAATAAAAAATAGAAACTTATCAAATCCGGGACAATTCTAGGACAGTGTTTGGTTGGCCGTAGTAAAAATAATCTTGTTTTTTTATTCCGAAAAGTGTTGCGGGATAATTATACGATGTTGTTGGTAGAGACGATGTATATTACAGATGATAATAGTCTGACAATATGTACATAGAAATAATGATCTTATATACTAAATGACAATAGGAAAATGTAAGGTGGGGCGACACAGTTTAGACACGGCAGTGCTTATCAGATGACAATATTGAATTTGTCTTACTAGCCATATTTCATTGCAATCATTATTTTGATGTATCTAGGTAACTGTGTCCCATAATAATCGAAAAGGAAAATGCCATTTATTCTCAAATACATACTTTTATCATATAGGTATCTACGTATTAACGCCAGTTATAATTTTAAGATGCAATTTAGTACAGGCCGCGTCGTTCGTTGTTAGTATATTTTGTTACAAAACTAGTAGGTTTTCAGAATTTGGGACAACAAGGTCTAATTACTGGACATGGGACAAGACGCAAAATTTCGGGACAATCCCGGATTACCCGACCATCTGGTCACCCTACTTCCAAGCTATATCCGAACTCTATTTAATGCCTGTTGCCTAGTTCAGAGGCGAAACGTGTGGCAATACGAGTGTAGATTCAATAACGGTCGGAATTTGATCACCAATAGAGAAGGTCGTAACGCTTCAGGCGGTGGTTAGACTTCCGCCCTAAATATTTATGATCTCACACATTCTAATTGTAGGGGAATTAAATAAAATAATGTAATAATATACTAGTTGTCCCGGCAAACGTTGTTTTGCCATATAAATTAAAATCGCTATTAAAAAATAGGGGTTGATACTAGAAGGGTGAAAATATAGGGTTGTATGTATTTATCAATCCTTACTAATATTATAAATGCGAAAGTAACTCTGTCTGTCTGTCTGTCTGTCTGTCTGTCTGTCTCGCTTTCACGCCAAAACTACTGAACCGATTTAAATGAAATTTAGTACGCAGATAGTCTAGACGCCGAGGATGGACATAGGCTACTTTTTAATGCGAAAAAAGGGTTGTAAGGGGTTCAAAATGGAAATACAAGGTTATCTTTATGCGGTTGAATCCTTATTCGTCATATTTTCATTTCACTAGCTAACAACCAATCAACACATCGCGTGTGTTTGCGCCATGTATGTGTTGATTGGTTGTTAGCTAGTGAAATGAAAAGATGACGAATAAGGTATCCATCACAGAGAACAAAACCACAGATAACATAATGTAAAACGAAAGATCTTGCCGGAAACATGACGTTGACGTTTAGTGAAAATATTGTTTTTGACACTTTTTTATGATAAAATCGTATATCGTGTGTATGTGTTTTTTCTTTAAACCTGAAATTGGCCGATTGCGAGACAAATTTGGCGATTTTTTTTATCAATTTGTTTTACGGCTCTGGATACAAGCCCAGTTTAGCCCAACTTAAAGTTTTACAATATAAATTACAAAAATTAAAGTCAATATCCAATGTTAAATAATAATAAATGTCAAATGTTGTTTCCCTGTTCTGAACAACTTAAAAAAAAACTATTAAGTTTTCTTTTTAAGTTGTTCAGTACAATCACAATTTCTTCAAATTTTATTATTTACATTTTTTAAAGAATGTTGTGGTGTGGCACTATCCGAAATTAAATTATTTACCCATTTTTGTAGGTTATACAGAAATAATGTGTGGGTGTTTATTTAAAAAGCATTAACACAAAATTAATAAAGTATAGGTATTAATAAATATATGGTTGTTGTATCAAAATAGAATTTTCTTATTTTTCACTAAAATAAAAACTAACTGTCTTTTTTATAAAATAAATGACCTTTTCATTATGCCATATATTATGGAACTATTTCAATTATTTAGCTGATTGTAAGAAACAAAATGTTGGTTTGTAGATTAATACTGTAAAATTATTATTTGTACGGAAACGATAAAAATATATTTTTGTGCTGCGACAAAAACTAATATTATAAATGTGAAAGTAACTCTGTCTGTCTGTCTCGCTTTCACGCCAAAACTACTAAACCGATTTGAATGAAATTTGGTATACAGATAGTCTAGACCCTGAGAACGGACATAGGCTACTTTTTAATGCGAAAAAAGGGTTGTAAGGGGTTAAAAGGGGGATGAAAGATTGTATGGAAGAATCGTCATTTTTGAAGCTAGAAGCTTGAAACTTATTTTTGAGACTGTTGATTAAATATAAATAAAAATGACATTCAATGTTTGTAAAAAATTACTCTTCAGGGGGTAAAATAAAATAGGGGATGCAAGTTTTTATGTAAATTCGTCATTTTTGAAGCTAGAAGCTTAAACTTATTGTTGAGACTGTTGATTAAATATAAATACATATGACATTCATTGTTTGTAAAAAAATTACCCTTAAGGGGGTAAAATAAAATAGGGGATGCAAGTTTTTATGTAAACACGTCATTTTTGAAGCTAGAAGCTTGAATCTTATTGTTGAGACTGTTGATTAAATATAAATACATTGACATTCATTGTTTGTAAAAAAAATACCCTTAAGGGGGTAAAATAAAATAGGGGATGCAAGTTTTTATGTAAAATCGTCATTTTAGAAGCTAGAAGCTTAAAACTTATTTTTGAGGCTGTTGATTAAATATAAATACATATGACATTCATTGTTTGTAAAAAAATTACCCTCAAAGGGGTAAAATAAAATAGGGGATGCAAGTTTTTATGTAAACACGTCATTTTTGAAGCTAGAAACTTGAATCTTATTGTTGAGACTGTTGATTAAATATAAATACTTATGACATTCATTGTTTGTAAAAACAAATACCCTTAAGGGGTTAAAATAAAATAGGAGATGCAAGTTTTTATGTAAAATCGTCATTTTTGAATCTAGAAGCTTGAAACTTATTTTTGAGGCTGTTGATTAAATATAAATAAATATGACATTCATTGTTTGTAAAAAAATTACCCTTAAGGGGGTAAAATAAAGTAGGGGATGATAGTTATTATGTAAATTCGTAATTTTTGAAACTAGAACGATGAAACTATTTTCATTGGTTCTTTTGGGGTAGATTTTTAAAAACCCCACTAATGTTATAACTGTGAAAGTAACTCTGTTTGTCTTTCTGTCAGTCTTACGCTCCAAAACAAAATAAAAATTTAAATGAAATTTTGTACACAGTTAGTTTACACCCGGACAAAGAATATAGGGTACTTTTGAATGTGAAAAAAGGATTGTAAGGGGGTTGCAATGGTAGGCTGTATGGAAGAATCGTCATTTTTTAAAACTAGAAGTTTGAGACTCATTTTTAGGCTGTTGTTTAAATATCAATAAATATGATATTCAATTTTTTTAAAATGTTTCCTCTTAGGGGGAGGGGGGGCAGTAAAATAAAATAGAGAATGAAAGTTATTGTGGAAATTTGCTGTTTGTGTGGTTGTGGAAGCTAGAACGATTAAACTTTTTTCTTTGTCTTTTTAGGGTTAGTTTATTAAATACCTTACTGATATTATAAATGTGAAAGTAACTTTATCTGTTTGTCTCGCTTACACGCCAAAAATACTGAACCGATTTAAATTGAAATTTGAAACAGACATAGATAGACTAGATCCTGAGAAAGGACATAGGTTACTTTTTAATGTGAAAAAGGGTTGCAAGAGGATTAAAAGGGTAGATCCAAGGTTATATAGATGTATCGTCATATTTAAAGCTAGAAGTTTGAAATTTATTTTTTAGCCTATTGATTAAATATTTATTTTTACTTTTTATCATTTTTGAAGCTAAAACGATGAAACTTATTTATTTGACTTATATTGTGTTAATTGAGTTAAATATTTTTTCATTATTTACGCGGACGAAGTCGCGGGTACAGCTAGTCCTAAATAATAATAATAAAATATGTCGAAAAAATAAATAAAATATATTTAGGGGTTTCGTACCCCACGAGAATTTTATATATAACACTAGCTGTCCCGGCAAACGTTGTTTTGCCATATAAATTAATAACGCTATAAAAAATAGGGGTTGATGATAGAAGGGTGAAAATGTAGGATTGTATGTATATTTGTATGTTCTATCATAAAAAAATAGAAATTAAAAATTTTGTCTAAAAAATAAAAAACTAAATTGTACACAATGTGCAAATCAAATTTGTAATCGGTTCAGTAGTTTAGGAGTCCATCGCGGACAAACAACGTGAAATGTAATTTTTATATATAAAGATATACAAATCTATGTTTATAAAAAATCAATATCTTTGTTTTCATCTGATTAAGTTTCTAATAATTTCAGGGGCTAATCCGGGATTAACGTACCGACCTCGTGGTCAGGAAGGCACCGTGGTGGAGTACAGTGTTGAGGCAAACTCCTCTGACGTGTATACAAGTCAGCTCGATGAGATCTTAGAGGGTACGTATATTTATGTTTTTTTATGGATGATAATGATGCACCCTCCTGCGCTATTGATGTACGCTGGCAGGGCGCCAGTCGAGAATACTACGATGAGCATGAGGTCAGGTGAGTGAATCACCTGATGAAGAATAATAAGGAAGTAAAAAAAGTCGTAGCTATTTTAGACGCCTCAGAGGTTTTTCTTATGGATGACAATAGAATGGTGCACCCGCCTGCGCTAACGGTTTCAGCTGGCGGTACACCAGTGGAGGATGATAAGATGAGCATGAGGTCAGGTCAGTTAGCCCATCGTGACAAATTCACCAAGAATTTATCACGATGGTTTCAGGGGGAACTGCGTAGAGGTCAACCTGACATGGTACATTGCTAGCAATAAGATTATCAGTCTACACTACTAACTAACTACCTTTCTCCTCCGTATAATATATAATGTTGATTAATATCAGTCCGCCCCGGCTTCGTACGGGCCCAATATTTAACATTTAAACTGGTCGACACGTAACGTATGTATTTGGGTAATGAATGATTAATATAATGTTTATAATAGAAATAGAAATAATCTTTATTCAAAAGTGCTTATATTTTTTGAATAGTCAAGTTTTTTTATTCTACCGCTTATTCGGAATGCAGATTCATCACAAGAAGAATAAGCAAGGAACTTGTGTGTTGATCTTTTAAATAAATATTCATTTACTTATATTTAATTAACAACAAGGATTAGGCATGCGACAATCAACATAGAAACCGCTACGCACTTAATCTCTGTTCAATCAGATAACACAACACTGTCAGCGCTATGAATTTTAAGTTAGATACTTTCTACAAAAACATTATTATCATTTATAAATTCTTTAATTTTATAATAAGCTTTTTTACAAAGAAAATATTTTATGACACATTTGAATCTTTTTTCTGGCAAATTGACTACAGACTCTGGGAGTTTGTTGTAAAACTGTAAAAATGTATTTAACATTAGTTTAGAAGATATTCGATTACTATAAAAATAATTATTTATTTATATATGTATTCTTTTACACACAAAAATATATTTATAGCGGACTTAATGCTTGATGGCATTCTCTACCAGTCAACCGTCGCGTTGATCAGAGATAAATAAGATTGTTGTGAATTAACCAGGGGCGGATCTTGAATTTGTGGGGACCCTGGACTAAATTTACTGAGAGGCCTATCTAATTATATTAGTCAACTAAAAAAATACAGCGACCTAAAACCAGAAATTCCCCGTTCCCTTCGATAAACTCTACAATCTCGTGGCCAACCTTATGATAGGTTTTTTAACATTCTAGATATTTTGTATATTGTAAATATCGTTTCAGTGGGGACTAGGGGCCCTTTGTATCCTCGCGGCCCTTGGCTGCAACCCAAAAAGCCCTTAGGTAGATCCGCCCCTAGAATTAACCTTAAAAGATAGACATGTATTATCGCGGACTTATGAATATTTTTTGTCATTTCTCATTGCTGCTCCGCTTCTATTGATCGTACCGTGATATATAGCGTATGGGACTCGGGGATAATATACTCTCTCCGATCGATCCCCCGTCCAATTCAAACGGGGATCGATATTACGACGGCCTGAGCCGAGGTTCGAACCCGTAGCGGTGCCATCAGACTAAAGTCGTATCCGTCAGGCAGGAGTTGGCCTTCAGGCGCTCCATTAGTCCTTCCTTTGGTTTGGAGTGCCATCTGCACTCGCCCCCTATCGTCCGGTGAAGCTGTAAAGGCCAGCTGCGGCCAACAGCAATAGAGTAGTCTGAAACAAGGAAAAAAAGGGGATAATATACCTTTCTAACAGTGAAATAAATTTTCAAATCTATATAAATACTAGCTACTCACCCGGCTTCGGCCGGGGGTACATGTATTATATATATACCCCTGAAACCACTCTATCTATAAAAAAAAAAAAACCGCTTCAATATCCGTTGTGTAGTTTTAAAGATTTAACCGTACATAGGGACAGACAGCGACAGCGACTTTGTTTTATACTATGTAATGATGATAATAATGATAATGAATCATCATCATGGAAGATAAGTGATTTTTTTTTAATTTATTTATGAGTATTACATATATATAATTTATTTTTACAATTATCGCCAAACAGCTTTACAGCATGTTGGATAAGGACACTCATTTTTACTTATACTAGGTACTTAATTTACAATTTAACTAAATTTACAATATAGAACTTATACTAATGCATTTTATCGTGTAACCATCTTTAGAGTTAAGTAATGTGTAATCAATCAAATAAAACTTGATGTACATATCTGTATCATGAGATACATTTGTAACAGGGGTTTCAAGTTAATAATTTTCTTTCAATCATCCAGATTGGTCATTATTTGCAATTAATTGCGAAATTTGGGGGTTTTACAACGTAAATAGTAGAAATTCGGTAAAAAATAAAATCGTACGTCACGTACGCTAAGCATGGTCAAATACGGTTCTAAGTGGTTCATATTAACAAGCTGTTAAAGTTGCACCCATCTTCCAAACATCCTGTATAACTCAACTTAATAATTGTATTATATCAAATCTTAATAAGAAATCAATATGTTTACTTCTGACACACTACACCTATTGATTTCGAAGCTCGCCTTATATGCTTTGGCAACCCTGATTCGTAGGGTTGCCAACAATACGAGAAGTCTCGTATATTACGATACGAGATTTTTGGTGTTATAAAAACATTTTCGTCCTCACACACGAGTGTAGGAGATTTTAACTTATTTATTTATCCATCGTGATAAATTCCTGGTTAATTTGCCACGATGAGCTAACTGACCTGACCTCATGTTCATCTTATCATCCTCCACTGGTGCCCCGCCAGCGTATACCGTTAGCACAGGCGGGTGCACCATTCCATTATTATCCTTTTAAAAAGCAGTTTTTTTTTTCAAAATTATAGTATTATCTGCCGCTTCTTTTGTGGCGACATCCTTTTGGCCTATTTTTTTTTATCCTGTGTCTGTGTTCCATTTTTTTTAAAGGAGATTATGAGTCAATATTTCACTAATAAAAATAATAATCCAAGACAATTCACACAGCGCCATCTAGTCCCAAGTTAAGCAGAGCATGTGTTATGGGTACTAGATAACTGATATTTTTTTGTAGATGCATAGATATTTTTTTGTAAATTCATGCATAATATACATAGAAAACACCAAAACCAACAATCATAGTCATGAATACAAATGTTTGTACCGTGCGAGGAATCGAAACCGCGATCATCGGAAGCAAAGCGGTCTGCTAAATCGCTAGAACACCAAGGCTGTCAGTAACTTTTTTAATTTTTTTTTAATAATGCTTTATTCATGACCATGGATACAAGTCCTTCAGTCGAATACATTTTTATATAATGAATTGAATACAAAACATAAAAATTAAAACATAAGAAATAAACTATTATTGTCAGTAACTAATGTTATAATGTTGGCACCCCTGTAATTAACAATAAATATTCATTGAAAAAGGAGGTTAGAGAGTCTATACACGAAATGTTTAACTAATATTTAAATGTTGGTAACCCTGCACGCTATGCTACCGTATACTCTGAGATATCAAGTTACATATACTGAGAAGCAATTGTTTAATACTTTAAGATCACAGGCAGACTCTAATGTTGTCGAATTTCCATGAAATATATATATGTATGTGCTAAGTACTGATCAACTCATTTTATTACGCTTTAGAATTTGACACTGCCCTTATAAGAATGAAACTGAAATGGACTCTATGTAACAAATTGTACTGTTGAAATTTTATTCTAAACTAACAGTTACCCGCGACATGTTTTGCGTAGAATTTTATTTTTTAATATATCTTAATCATTCATTATACAGTTCAATCAATCATTATATAGTATAAAATAAAGTCGCTGTCGCTGTCTGTCCCTATGTATGCTTAAATCTTTGAAACTACGCAACGGATTTTGAAGCGGTTTTTTTAAATAAATAAAGTGATTCTAAAGAATGGTTTATATGTATATATAATACATGTACACCCGTGCGAAGCCGGGGCGAGTAGCTAGTAATATTATAAACGCGAAAGCTTGTGAGTATGAATGCATGTTTGTTACTCTTTCACGCAAAAACTAATGAACTGGATGGATTTTGATAAAACTTTACAGTAATGTAGCTTATTTATCAGAATAAAATTTAGGCTATAAATATTATGTAAATTGGACGAAATATTACGGGTCAGATAGCATATATATAAAATTCCTACATATACATAATACATACTTGCTGTCAAATGGCGACAACGTACTTGCAATTCCCCTGATGTTGCGGGTGCTCATGGGCGGCGGTAATCACTTACCATTAGGTGAGCCGCATGCTCGTTTGTCCTCTGTGTTATAAAAAAAATGGACCGTCAGCTTGTTTTCCATTTACAAAAAAAAGATGGCGTCATATTAGTTGTCCATGGTTATATACGAACTTCCGGTTTCAGCGTACGCGCATGAGGTATGGAGGGGAGGAATCACAGAATGTACCAGTGAAGATAACTTCGGATTTCCATTCTCGCCGTGCATTTTTATCAAACTAAACAAGGTAAAGTTACTTTGACAATAGCTGCCTTTACACGTGCGAATCGGCTTTCACATAGGAAACTGCGTGTAAATGTAGACAAAGGGAATGACAATTCACGCGCTGCCTGTGAACTTTTACTTACTACTTTACTTTTAACTTACTTATTACTTTACTTTTACGCCTGTATTCCCGCGTACTTTACTCGTGCGTGCTTTAATGCCTTTTTCAAATAATTAATTATTATTGCTAAACGGTGGACATCCGTCTGAGTAAAAACATAATTATAGAGTTTAATAAATCTCAAAAGTAGAAATATATTATTTGATTTATATGATCAAAAAAAATACCGTTTCGATAGTACATTCGTAAATTATGTAAAAAGATACTCAAAAACTTTTAAAAAGGTATGTAATGTAGCAAAGTCTAATTATCTAAATAAAAAAATTAAAGAATCCAAGGATAAGATTAGGACAGTGTGGAATATTATTAATAAAGAAACTGGCAAAGTTAAAAGTCCATATAATGATTTTACGTTAAATTATAATGATAAACTAGTAACGTCCACAAAAGAAATAGTCAATATTTTTGAAAAATTTTTCGCTAGTATTCCAACTGATATTACGTCCTCTTTGGACTCTTCTCCAAGTACAGCTAAATCATTCCTTATTGACAATGTTGCTTCGTGTCCGGTTACATTTAAATTTACATTTATTGACATTGCTACAATTACGAAAACATTTAAACAATTAAATTTAAAAAATACTGAAGACCATTGGGGCATGTCTGTTAAAGTTATTAACACCGCTATAGATGTTATTGCTCCATATTTAGTAACTATCTTCAATAAATGTATTTTTGACGGTGTTTTTCCCAATTTAATGAAACATAGTAAAATAACTCCACTTTTTAAGTTAGGGGATAAAACTGAAGTAGGTAATTATAGGCCCATTTCTATCTTACCAGTACTAAGTAAAGTGTTTGAAAAAATTATGCTCAATCAGATGCTTCACCACTTTAAAATAAATAGACTGCTTCACAGTCGGCAATTTGGTTTCACGGCCGGTAAATCAACTACTGACGCTGGTGTAGCTTTAATGAAACACATTTTTGACTGTTGGGAGAGGTCACAGGATGCTATCGGTGTATTCTGTGACCTCTCAAAAGCATTTGATTGCGTTGATCATGAAACACTCTTACTCAAATTAGAATATTACGGTATTAGATATGAAGCACTATGCATGATGAAATCCTATCTAAATAATAGAATGCAAGTTGTTGAAATAAATGGTGTAAAGTCTGAGGGAACTAGTATTAAAATGGGTGTTCCTCAGGGCTCTATTCTAGGTCCTTTCTTATTTTTAGTTTACATAAACGATCTTCCTTATATGGTAGAAAAGATAGCTGACATAGTTCTGTTTGCTGATGATACTTCATTAGTATTCAAAGTCAATCGACATATTGATGATATGGACGAAGTAAACGGTTCTCTCTCTTATGTTTTAAAATGGTTTACGGCAAATAATATGCTACTAAATGCAAATAAAACTAAATGTATCAAATTTACTCTCCCCAATGTAAGGCCGGTAGATTCAAAAATCGTATTGGACAATAAATCTATTAATTTTGTTGACGATACTGTATTTCTAGGTATCACATTAGATTCCAAGTTGCAATGGGGTGCTCATATTACTAAATTGGCGAGTCGACTTAGTTCTGCCGCTTATGCGGTAAGAAGAATTAGACAATTAACAGACGTGGCAACGGCTAAACTTGTCTATTTTAGCTATTTCCATAGCATTATGTCGTATGGTATTTTGTTATGGGGCAAAGCAGCTGATATAAATACAATATTTACTTTACAAAAGAGGGCCATTCGCTCCATTTATGGTATGGGTTCCAGGGAGTCATTGCGAGAGTGTTTTAAGGAATCAAATATCCTCACCGTTGCTTCTCAATACATTTATGAAAATATCATCTATGCCAGAAGGAATATAGACAGTTTCAAAAGAGTTAGTGATTGCACTAATAAAAGCTTACGTAACAATAACAAACTGATTTTACCTAAATGTCGTTTGGCTAAAGTTAGTAATTCGTTTTATGGCAATTGCGTAAGGTTTTACAATAAAATACCAGAGTCTGTTATAAATCTGCCAGAAAAAAGATTTAAATGTCAAATAAAACAGTTCCTTTGCAAAAAAGCTTACTATAAAATTGAAGAATTCGTTAACGATAATAATGTTTTTATAGAAAAACTTTAAATCTATAGCACTGACAATATTATCTGATTACATTAATAATGAGTGCGTAGCGACTTCTATGTTGATTATCGCATGCCTCTTACTTGTTATACTGTAATTATTTATATAAAAAAAAAAACATCTATTAAAAAGAGCAACACACAAGTTTCTTGCTCATTCTTCTTGTGATGAATCTGCATTCCGAATGAGTGGTAGAATCAAAATATGACTATTCAAAAGTGCTTGTAATGAGTTTATTTGAATAAAGATTATTTCTATTTCTATTTCTATTTCTATTTCTTAAACTTGTCTCTGGAATATGAAACCTGTGAAATAAAAAAAAATTGTGATAGGACATGAAAAGTAAAAACATAATTCTAGAGTTTTCAATAAATATTAAACATGTCTCTGGATTATGTATATGTGAAATAAAAAAAAATTGTGATAGGACATGAAAAGTAAAAACATAATAATAGAGTTTTCAATAAATATTAAACATGTCTCTGGATTATGAAATATGTGAAATAAAAAAAATTGTGATAGGACATGAAAAGTAAAACATAATTCTAGAGTTTTTAATAAATCTTAAACTTGTCTCTGGAATATAAAACCTGTGAAATAAAAAAAATTGTGATAGGACATGAAAAGTAAAACATAATTCTAGAGTTTTCAATAAATCTTAAACTTGTCTCTGGAGTATGAACTCTGTGAAATGAAAAAAAAAACATAGTGATATGACATGAAAAGTAAAACATAATTCTAGAATTTTTAATAAATCTTAAACTTGTATCTGGAGTATGAAATCTGTGAAATAAAAAAAAATGTGATATAACATGAAAAGTAAAAACATAATTCTAGAGTTTTCAATAAATCTTAAACTTGTATCTGGAGTATGAAATCTGTGAAATAAAAAAAATGGTCATATAACATGAAACATACGTTAAGTACAATCCCTCACATTTGCGCGCGCTGTCATTCCCGCGCTAAATCGCGCACGCTGCTGAAAGAACGTGTCATCTAAATGCTAATTAAGAGCTTAAACATTTTATAAATATTTTTTTCCATATAAACTATAAAAGGTTCTCTTATTCTGATGTTTAAGCTATATTAATGTAAAGTCTCATCAAAATCCGTTCACTAGTTTTTGCGTGAAAGAGTAACAAACATCTATATAGTATATACACAAACTTTCGAGTTTAAAATATTAGTAAAATTTATTAACATTTTTGTGATCGTATCTTTAATTTCTTTCGTTTATTCCTTTTAACTCATATTATTATTTTCTTATCTTATTCCTTTAAATTAATTGTTGTCCTATCTTTTTATACAGTGGAACTATTACAATCTAAATTGATTGTTTATAAAAGTTACACTGTTTTGCACTATTGTTTCTCATTTAATTCCAATCCAACTGCGTCATAACTAACATGTTACGTGATCGTTATTTGTCGCCAACACGACGCAACGTCGGTCGCACGTGCCGGTTGCACCCCTGCATTCAGCTAAAAATAACAGAATAACCCTAATAAATTTGTCATTACAATATACACAAAGCAGTACCACGCTGCTGGGTTCGGAACGTTTCTTATGTAAGATGGAATGATAAACAAATTGACAGCATGTTTAATGGTAAGTGAAAACTGTTGGCTATGTATATCAACAGCACTACCGACATTATTGTTATGTTACACCAGTGCTGCTCATGTGTTGCTATTCTAGAGGAAAAAAATGTCATACCTCCCTACCGTATACCCAAAATATGTCGTAGAAAATGCGTTACTCTTTTCTAGAAGAGTTGCGTAATTTACGGGTGGCTCCTATGGCACAATCAGATGGATAGTCAGATTCTTTCGCATTCAAGTTACGTACATAATCATATTACAGCGTTGAAACTTTATGTCTTGTTTTAATGTCATTGTACTATGTACTATATATGTATATCACACTTTTTCAAGCCTCTTTCTGTTTAATGTGTAATGTGAATGGATGGACTCTATATGGTAGCACCAAAAGATAGACAGTTAGTTTGTTTGTCATTCCTATCTTACTGACATATAAACGCGAAAATTTGTGAGTTTCGATGGATGAATGTATGGATATTTCTTCTCTTTCACGCAAAAACTACTGAACGGATTTTTATGAACCTGCAGTAATATAGTTTATACATCAGAATGACACATATGCTACAAATTTCCCGCGGTCGAAACAGGGTACAGTTTTACATATATAATAATTTTGCAGTGTTGAATCTTTACAATTCAATGTTAATTTACACACTTTTTGGCAGATATTCGATTGGGTGCCGGAATACTATGATGATGTCAACAACCTCCCTGCTGACATGCCCGATGCGCTCCAGGACTACATCAAAACTACCGACAAGGTTTGATTGATTTTGTTGAATTATATTTTTTTGTTTTACTACGATGGCGACGGCCCATACAATAGTAAATAAATATCACTTGTTAGCATCGGTTAAGCTAAAACGCTTTTGAGATTAGCATGTATAAGTGTACTAACAAATATACAGAACTAGCGACCTGTCCCGGCTTCCCCTACAGAATGTCCTTATAAACAACATTTACAGCTTTTTTGTCATTAGATGTGTCAAACACGACCTCGGTGGTCTAGCGGTCAAGCACACCGCTTTACGACCGATGGTCGCGGGTTCGATTCTTCGCACGGCACAAACATTTGTATCCATGAGTATGATTGTTTGTATCGATCTGGGTGTTTTCTATGTATAATATGTATGTATTTACAAAAAAAAAATATCTATGTATATGTATCAGTTATCTAGTACCCATAACACAAGCTCTAGCTAGCTTAACTTGAGTCTAGATGGCGCTGTGTGAATTATCCTGAGATTATTATTATTATTATAAACATATTTTGTTTAGCGCTGTCGCACCGCTCTGTCCTTGCATTTTAAATCTGTAATATCTTCGGAAATATTAGTTTAAATTACATACTGCAAATTGATCTATATTAAATTGACAATGTATTTAAAGTACTTAATAATTTAATTGTTTTATACTATGTAGTGATTAGCATACTCAAGTGCACTAATAAATATACAGATTTTTATATATCTCTACAAAAATAAGTACAACGGTTAGAAATGTTTTTTGTTAATATACGAAAGTAACACAGATCGTGTACAATATATGGCTATATTTTAGTAGTTATATATTTTCCTAATAGACTACAAAAGGTACCCTAGTTTCACCTATTTTAGTCGCCGACCTGATCCGCTAAACCTTGTAAGCTGTGTTTCGGATGTAGGATGCAGTTTTGGCAGTGATATTGCAGGAGGCATGACATCTTACTCCTCTGGAATCATACGATATTCTAGGTTCCTGATATCGCGAGTGTCACAACAATCCGTAGTGGTGGTCATCTCTCATATATGCGACGGTTACCGTTTACCATCAAATGTTCTCTCAGCTTTTTTGCCATTCAAAATATTAATAATCTGTGACAGCTCAAGCAAGTGTGGGTGTCTTGCGCTGAAGAAGGGAGCAATACAAATTCTTCTAGAATTCAGTACCCGTGGGGCATGGCGCTATTGGGCAGGTACCCATTTCAGAACGTGGGGGACCATCCGAGTCCGATACTGGCTGTCACATTCACGCCACCAGGTAAGTTTTGAATAGATAGATATATAATATACGACGGCCTCGGTGGTCTAGCGATTTAGCACACCGCCTTCTTCCGATGGTCGCGGGTTCGATTCCTTGCACGGCACAAACATTTGTATTCATGAGTATGATTGTTTGTATCGGTCTGGGTGTTTTCTATGTGTAATATATATTAATAACATTAATTATTTTAATTACATTGTTATTTAAATAATGTAATTAAAATATTGTAATGGGGAAAACTGTGTTGTTACAGCCTATACTGTAAATATGTACTATAAATGACGTATTGGAGTAACTTGAAACAGTCATGATCGCTATAAAGTTGAAACTTGTGATGGCGTGGTGGGCCAAGTCAATGTGCTCCCTCTAATATGGTTGAGTTCAATGATGGCTGACTTATTCGTCATACACGTGAAAGGGTGCTGCTTGTGGGGACTGATCTGTTGGGGTTACGAACACTGATTAGTTTATTTGCTTTTGCAAAAGCATATGCTGGTGGTCACTCTATTTTCCCAAATTTGAAAAAAGAAAAAATGAATCAGTATTATTTTAAATACATACAACATTTATGTGAAAAAGAATATAAGCTGAGATTCTTGTCAGTTCTTCTTATCTCGATATCATTCCGAACATTATGATTATGATATGTCAAATCTACTGTAGATTTGACATATCATAAGAGTCTGTAATAGACCTACAGGAATAAAGATATTTATTTTGACCTGATCTCATGCTCATCTTATCATGCCCCACTAGTGCCCCGCCGGTGAACCAGTACATTGTCATCCATTTAAAAATATTCATCTTTACAATTCTAAGACGATAAATCACATAATTCAATTATAATTGTTTCAGTGAACACTCCATTTACAGTTCGATGTAGGGCGTGGGCCAAAAATATAGTGTACAACAAAAGTATAAAAGAAGCCTCCGGGTACACTCGCATCCAATTACACATACACGATACAAATCCCGCCACGGAGAATCCAGAAGAAAATACCACCTAATGTACCTGTAATTCCTAATTAGTAAATTTTAGTAGTAACTGAAATCTGTACATATATATAAAAATGTAAATGATCGCCGTGTGTACATGAAAGGTATACGAGAAAAAATATTATTAGCTGCCTTTACACGATACATTCATTCATGCGCGCTCACTAGCGCGTGAAATTTAGCGCGTGAATTCCAGCGCGCGCAAACGTGAGTGATTGTATTTTACTATTTTCTGTGTTCACTAATTAGCGCCTAATAGCGTGTATGTTTCATGTTATTTCATTTTCTTTTAAAAAAATATTTTATACTAGCTGTACCGCGGTTTTACCTACATGAAATTTATAGCCTATATATAGTTATTCTGATGTATAAGATATATTACTGTGAAGTTTTATCAGAATCCGTTAAGTAGTTTTTGCGTGAAAGAGTACCAAACTTTCACGTTTATAATGTTAGTAAGATTCCACAGATTTTATTTCCCACAGACAATTAAAGATATATAAATAAAAAAAATTTTGCCTTTGGTCAATAGTTAGATATCCGCCATTTTGCAAACACATTTAATTCTTTAAAAAAGGCAGACAATAAATCTACAATTATGCCTTTGGTCAATAGTTAGATATCCGCCATTTTGCAAACACATTTAATTATTTAAAAAAGGCAGACAATAAATCTACAATTATGCCTTTGGTCAATAGTTAGATATCCGCCATTTTGCAATGACATTTAATTATTTAAAAAAGGCGCTAAACATTCACGATTGTTGTACGCGGGAATGCGCTAACTGTTTGCGCACGTGGTTTTTCCCGTTTTCTTTGTCTATATGTATATGCACATTATTTCCTGTGTGAAAGCCTATTCACGTAAGGACCGTGCGTATAAAGGCAGTTATTGGGTGAGTACATCCACGTATTATTAATAATAATTTTATTGTGGATATAATATTTATTTCTTTCAACGTATCGACTAGGTTACACTAGCCGTGGTCATATAATGGGAAACGATATTTGTTATTGTTGTCTGTTTGATATATTAATGTCTGTTAGTCGGTGCGTTTGTGTGCACTAAACTCGGAAACGGCTTATCCGTTTCTGGTGTGATTACCACGTAGTGTATTGTGGTGAACTTCACTTAAAATGTAATGTTTAAAATAGAAATAATCTTTATTCAAATAAAATAATTACAAGCACTGTTGAATAGACATATTTTTGATTCTACCACTCATTCGGAACGCAGATTCATCACGAGAAGAATGAGCAAGAAACTTGTGAATAGATATTATTTAAAAGAATTAATTACATAATAACAAGTAAGAGGCATGCGATAATCAACATAGAAACCGCTACGCACTATTAGTGCAATCAGATAATGTTGTCAGCGCTGTAAATTTTAAGTATTTTCCACAAATACAATTATGTACTTATTTTATCCCAATTCGTTCATAAACAGAAAAGTTATACAGCTCTGAAATTTGCGTTAAAAATAATGAAATATTATTCAATAAATGATGTTTCAAAAACTTTCCGTATTTGTGATGTAAATAATGAAGGATAAAATGATGATTATAATAATGATGAATGATATAATGAAGCATTACTGATTTACGTCACATGAATTTTATGAAGTTTCGGACATCTCATCTTGGTCACAGTTGGTCACATTGTGAGACTCCTTCCTATTTTGACGTCACACGTCTTGAAATAGTCCGTATTAGTAGAAATGGTGTGAACAACGCTTTTTAGTTTAGTATTACCTTTTATAATTAACCCAGTACAGTACAATTGGAGTAAACTTGCGACGTATGCATTTATAAATTATATTGTCCGTATTATTTGATAATGTGTTTTATTTCTATATGTCATAGAGGTTATATTAGTTGTAAACAATTGTCGTAAAAAACAATATTGTACAAAATTGTTTATAAGAGATTATTAAGACCGCTGATATACAGTTGGCTTCGGTTGTCATGATCCGCCCTCCGCGGTGCTGCATCAATTGGAGTGTATCACAACTTTAGTACTATTCGTTCAACCGAACGACCGACCGGCTGTATGTTAGCAGCTTTATAGTGATAAGATCACCTTTTGAAAATGCACTGTTTATCATATTCTGTGTTTGTATTTATTTTAATGTGCGTAATAAAGAGTTATTATTGTTTGTTTGTGTATATTTTCCTGCAGCATTTTACATAGTAGTTTAAAATCTTGGTGAGATATGGTAGTTCAATTACGGGGTAATCAAGAATAGCATATGTGGACAATCAGGGCTTCACATGACTATGTATTGTCTGATGATGTTCATATAGGCGAGTTTCCCACCAGTTCGACAACATCTCGACTGCTTTAAAACTAATATAAACTCTAAAAGAAGCTGATGGAGGCAGAATTTGGTGAACAAGGAGTATCAAAATTAAAATATCTTCTCGTTATTTAATACCTTTCTTACCTTATATCATCTTTCACGCAGTCCATCCATCTCTTTTTCGGTGTTCCTCTGCTCTTATAACCATCTACGTTCATATGAAACACCTTCCTCAAAATATTATCTTTATTCCTACCTACTAATGCTTCACGAGGTCGTAATAAACACTTCTAAAGGTAATTGTCAAGCTAGGGCAGGGCGTAGGGCGGCACGCATGCCGGTTGTCACCAGATTTGGGCGGCGTAAGATACGACCCAGATTAAATATTTAGATGTGCCAGGGTGTTATATCTGAGTTTAACGCCTACGGATGTCTCGTAGAAAGCGTATGTAACAGTCTATCTGTGCACATAGTCAAGTTATTTACTTTTACTTATATCATTATTATCTTTATATCAAAAGTCGCAAGTTCGAATCTGGGCGACAATAAAAAAACTTGTGTGTTAATTTGTAGTTCTGACTATGGTGATGAGAAGACGGCATGGCGATGACAAACCAAATTATTTGAAGAGACTGCGATGACTATTCATGATGATTTGTTTCAGACGTGATAAACAATCACGTCTGATACAAATATACTCACATATAAAGTGTATACAAGGTTACTGTGTGACGACGGTGTGTCAATCAGTTGCCAATGTCTTAGACTAACCTGTCAGATATTATCGCCGGGTTATAATTATTATTAATATACGTTACATTAATAATAATTCTTAATACCTCTGTATAACTCACACATCGACATTTAGTTCCAAGCCAAGTAAAGTTATGGATACTAGATAATTGATGGAATAATTAAAAATATTTTTTATATAAAAACATCAGACCAATACAAACCTCGCTAGAAATCGAATTCGTGACATCTAAGGTAAAACGATATGCTAAGTCGCTAAACCACCAAGCAGTCAATTATTATGAAGCAGTTACATACTTCTTATGGAAACCTATGCTAATTTTCACAAGCAAAGAGGACTTTTCCGCTTCTTACTCACTTCGCTATTGCAACTGTCAAATTATATAGTCTCTCAGAGACACAACGGATGTAGGCAAGATATGTTTACAATCTTGAAATGTACTGTAGTAATCATTGCAAGGCTGTAGTAGACCAGTCAGTTTGCGGCGGTGGATCTGTCACGATGGGCGCGGATAAGCCAAACGGCGTGGCAAACTACTGCCGGCGCCCTCCACAGAGACCCTTCCTTCAGCAAATACAATACGCGATATGGAATCCAGAGGAGAGAACATTCCTGGGCCGCACAGGGAAAAGATGGGGTATGATATTTTATATATACAATATTTTGTAAAGATAACTTTTATATCTTAAAAAAATCGTATCTTAGTACATAATTTCATGATGTTATTTTCTTTTAACAAAAAATATATGGAAGAAATCCTAAATTTGAGATAAGTCTGCCATTGTAGAACTTATTCCTTAAGATCTTTGTTTCCTTTGTTTTACTGTACAATAAAGTTGTTACAAACAAAAAAGAACCAAAATATTTCATAATAAAAAAATAGGTAAAATTCCATTACAGTTTTTTCGATTGTCTAATATTTTTATTTGATGCATTTTTTTTATTTAATTAGGAAATTATTTTTTTCAATTCAAATATTGTTACGCGTGTTTATACGTAATAAAAAAAAATATTTTTTTTCTTCAAATTATACAATATACATTCTGATAACAACCACGTGTATGAGTATGCTATAATTATATATTAGTCTCAGGTATAATATGTCTGAGGGATATTGCTGTAAAATGTGTTAATATTTTATTAACAACTAACTGATCCGCACAACTTTGTCTGCATCGCATACATTTATATTTCACCCAATTTACATAATACAGTCTTACATTATAGCCTACGTATTATTCTGATGTATAAGCTATATTACTGTAAAGTTTCATCAAAATCCGCTCAGTAGTTTTTGAGTGACAGAGGAACAAACATCCACCCATCCATCCATACTCACAAACTTTCGTGTTTATAATATTAATAATAGGATACGAATAGTAAAATCGTTGACTTTATTTTAGTAACATAGCTTATACATTAAAATAACATATAGGCTACTTTCATGGGGGGGGGGGAAACCGCAGGCACAGATTATATGCAATATTTTTTATACATAACATTCTTGTGATAATAACTGCTTGTGTTAAGTTTATGCTGGCGGGGCACCAGTGGAGGATAATAAGACGACTATGATGCTAGATCAGTTAACTCATCGTGGCAAATTCATCAGGAATTTATCACGATGGTTTCCAGGGAAACCTCATTGAGGTCAACCTGACATTATTAGCTATACTAGATCAGTTATTTTTATGTATGATAATGGAATTGTGCACCCGCCTGAGCAAACGGTTTATGGCGGGGCACCAGTGGATGATGATAAGATGAGTATGAGTTCAGGTCAGTTAGCCCATCGTGACAAATTCATCAGGAATGTATTACGATGGTTTCCAGGGGGCATCGCGTGGAGGTCAACCTGACATTGTTAGCTATGTTAGGTCAGTTTTTTTATGGGTGCCTGCGCTAAGGGTTTACGCTGGCGGGGCACCAGTGGAGGATATAAGATGAACATGAGGTCAGATCAGTTAGCCCATCGTGACAAATTCATGAAGTTCACTATGAATTTATCATGATGGTTTCCAGGGGGCATCGCGTGGAGGTCAACCTGACATTGTTAGCTATGTTAGGTCAGTTTTTTTATGTGTGCCTGCGCTAACGATTTACGCTGGCGGGGCACCAGTGGAGGATGATAAGATGAACATGAGGTCAGGTCAGTTAGCCCATCGTGACAAATTCACCAGGAATTTATTACGATGGTTTCCAGGGGGAACCGCGTGGAGGTCAACCTGATATGGTACATTGCTAGTAATGGGGTCATGAGTCCACATTACTAACAATCCCCTTCCCCCCATCAGTTAGCTCATCGTGACAAATTCACCTGAAATTTATCACGATGGTTTCCAGGGGAAACCGTATTGAGGGCAACCTGAATAAGCGGTAGATTAAAAAAAATGTTGACTATTCAAAAGTGCTTAAATTATGTTTATTTGAATAAATGATTTTCTATTCTATTCTATTCTATTGCTAGCTATTGGGTCAACAATATCCGTCCCCATAAATACCACAAAACCTATTAACTTGTTATTGGGGTGGTAATAAATAGTAACAGAGAAGTTTAATTAAAAAACTATGACCTGAAGGTCGATTATTATGGAAAATTCCGTTTGCAGAGGGTGGTAACGATATAGTAGCTATGACGGGCACTCCTACAAGATAGCTATAGCACTAGTAAAGAGGCATGAGTAATTTGTTCAACGATCCAATGCAGGATTGATTACGTCTTTTTTCCTATAGTCCTTACTATTATTATAAATGTGTATGTAGGTATGTTTCTTACACTTTCACGCAAAAACTACTGAAGCGATCATCATGAGATTTTGTATAAATGTTCTTGGAGGTGTTAGAATGAACATAGGATTTTATTTAAAACAAAAATTTAATGGATTCAATGCGAGCGAAGTCGCGGGTAAAAGGTAGTCTTTATATAAAAATGGTATCATCCATAAACATATATAATCACCTACCACTAACATTAAAAGAGGAGAAAAATAATAAAAAAATATAGATCTCAAGAGATATCTAAAATCTGAATTCTACAATTTTATTAATTACGGCCTCGGTGATCTGGCTGTTTAGCACTTTATCAACCTTACTTCCGAATGGTCGTGGGTTCGATTCCTCGCTCACTATTCCACACGGACGAAGTTGCGGGCACAGCTAGTTTTAATATATTTCCACTGTTGATAGAGGTACATATTTGTTATGTTTAATTTTTATAGTTACTATCATATAATGATGAAAACCAGAAACTTTTTAATAAACAGTTTATATTATACTATAACCGTACTATTACTAACTGCAACTACGTATTATAAACCTTAACTTGCTGTTATGAAATATCCTTTAGATCAGTGGTTCCCAAACTTTTTTGTGTTGTAGACTCTTTGCCATATTTTTCGGTTTTGGGTACATCCCCCATTCTTATTTGGTATAGATTTTTTGTAAATTTCTAACTGTAGTAAAGTTTAGTGTCAAAAACATAAAGTAAACAACAAGATGACCGCTGTTATAGACCCCTGGGAGTCGATACAGAACACTTTGGAATCATTGCTTTAGATAGTGTTAAATAAAAAAACTGTTTCTGCTTCTACTTATGAATGAAAGGAACTAACATAGTGTAACACCCTGTATAATAATATTTATATTAAGAACTGTATGGAACCAACACAGCGTAGGAATACGCTGTACTAATATTGATAAATTTAGCCACAATATAACAGATGGGAGGTAAGAATGTTAGTAAATTGGACTAATAAACCCTTTCAGATCAAAACAAATCAAAAATCATTTATTCATGTAGGATATGTTAGCCGCTTATAAACGTCAAGTTTTTTGTATCAAGTGTTATATATCATCCAGGTTGAGTATACAGATTCAATTGAGAGCTGGCAAGAAACTCAACTGAAATTCATTTTATTTTAAAAGCCAGTTTATTTATGTTGTGTACTTATATACGTAGATATCTATGTCTAACATTAAATGAAAATCCAGTGCGTGAACAACTATTGCCATGCACGCTCGTCATTCAAGTAATCGTTTAGTGAGTAATATTGTAGTAGTGGGGATTATTAGCAATGGGAACTAGTAACTCCCATTGCTAACAATGTACCATGTTAGGTCGACCTCCACCCTGGTACTGTATGGTCAGCCCCAGATAAACTCTCCACGATGTGCTGAATTCATCTGGGACTGACTATAATATGACGTCATGGTCATCTTATCATCCTCCACTATTATTAACGCAGGGGATCCAACATTCCATTGTTTTTTTCCATTAAAATATATTATAAACACTATCAGATCCGGCCACGCGTTGCTGTGGTTAAGATTCTTGAATAAAATATTATTACGATTATAAATTGAGATGTAACCTATACTATATGTACAAAATAAAATGTATATAATTATTTGTATCAGTTTTGTAGTGTTAAAACAAGCTTCGCTTAACTTGGTACTAGATGGCGCTGTGGGAATTGTCCTGAGATATTATTATTATATTATCCATCCATCCATATTATCAAATTACCGCGTTTATAATATTACTAAGATTCTTATACTATATATTATATATAATAATTTATATACACTAGCAGACCCTATACTATCCAGTTAGGTGGATCCAATTTCGAGAAAGAGGTCAATCGTCGAATCCAACTCGGATGGGCAGCGTTCGGGAAGCTCCGATATATCTTTTCGTCCAAATTACCGCAGTGTCTCAAGACGAAGGTTTACGACCAATGTGTGTTGCCAGTGTTGACTTACGGCACAGAGACGTGGTCGCTAACTATGGGCCAAGAACAAAATCAGAGTCACTCAGAAGGCAATGGAGAGGGCTATGCTCGGAGTTACTCTGCGTGATCGAATCAGAAATGAGGAGATCCGCAGAAGAACCAGAGTGACCGACATAGCCCGAAGAATTGCGACTCTGCTGAAGTGGCAATGGGCAGGGCACATAGCTCGTAGGACAGATGGCCGTTGGGGCAGTAAAGTCCTCGAGTGGCGACCACGGACCGGAAGACGCAGCGTGGGAAGGCCTCCAGCAAGGTGGACCGACGATCTGGTCAAGATCGCTGGAAGGCATTGGATACGAGCAGCGCAGGACCGACTGTCATGGAGATCTATGGGGGAGGCCTATGTCCAGCAGTGGACGTCTTCCGGGCTGCGATGATGATGATGATGACTAGCAGACCCGACCACGCGTTGTTGTGGTTAAGGTTCTTGAATAAAATAATGTTGCGACTATAAATTGAGATGAAGCTATCCTATCTTTCAAGTTGGATCAAATTGTACGCAATGTGCAAATCAAATTTGCAATCGGTTCAGTTGTTTAGGAGTCCATCGCGGCCAAAATATGTGACACGTAATTTTTATATATAAAGACATTGTTTTATTTATACCTGCATATTATTAAACTTATTATATGTTAGGTATATCTAAATAGTAATTATGTAATTTCAATATATTATAAATAAATAAATTAATATTATAATTATCATTTTCCTTAATTTATTTAATTGTTACATTTTCTGTTTATAAAATATAAATATAATACCTAATATTATAGGCAATTATTAAACTTTCATAAACATAATTGTGTTCTAAATATACATTAAAATCGTAGGTAAGGAAGTAAAAACA